ATATCATAATTATAAATAATTATAAATGTAATTGAGTTTAATTTTACCATTTGCAGTCTGTCTCCTGTTTGTCCTACATTGTTTTTGTCCTTTTATTTCTACTTTATTTTGCTTTCTTTTGGATTAATAAAATACTTTTATTGTTTTTCTCATCTATTAACTTTTTGGTAATACATACTTATATTTTTCTTTTAGTGATTAACCTAGAGATTGCAATATACATCCTTGACTTGATATAGTTGACCTAAAATTGATACTTTACTACTTCCTGAACAGTTATTTTATAAAACTTCATTCTGTTTACCTGGGACCCAGCTTTTATTGCTGCTGTATTTTAATTCTATATACACTTTAAAAGCGGTAATCATCATTGTCATTGTTGTTTTAAGTATTCACTGTTCCTGTAGATTTGTCACGTGCTCCTCCTTTCTGATACTTTGTGTTCCTTTGTTCATTACCGTGCTTCCATCTGGGGTGATTTACTTCTGCTTGAAGAACTCTTAAAAATTTTTTTAATGCTGGTTGATTGGCAGTGCATTGAATCCCTTTTAAAATGCTATTTTGCCTGCATTTTAAAAAGAGCAACTTAACAGTTATTGATTGTTAAGTTCATATTTTGTGTCGTCAGTTTAAATGTCATTTCATTGTCTTCTGGTTTCCAAGGTTTCTGTTGAAAAGTCACTTATTAGCCTTATTGTTGCGCCTTTGAAGGTGACGTGAATTTTTCCCTCTGGTTGCTTTTAAGATTTCCATTTCTCTTTGGTTTGAAGCTAATTAACTGTGTTATGGTTAGTTGTGATTTTTCTTCATATTTCTTCTGCTTGGAGTTTGCTGACCTCTGAATCTGCTGACCTGCTGAATCTCTGGGTTGGTATCTGTCATTTGTTTTGGAAAATTCTCCACTCATTTCTTCATCTATTGCTCGTCCTCGCCCACTCTCTTTTCCTTCTGGGACTGTTAGAGGGTTGGCCCTGCACTGTGTTGCTCATAGCTCTGATGCCCTTGTTCTCCTCCCATTCCTCTTCTCTGTCTGGTTCACACTGGGGATATTTTCTGCTGGCCTGTCGTGTGGTCACAAATCCTGTTTTCTGCTCTGTCCAGTCTGCTATTAATCTTATCCAGTGAATTCTGAATTTCAGATTTTGTGTTTTTCAGTTCTAGAATGTCCATTTCATATTTTAATATATATTTTAATTGTGTGTTTAAAATTCTTCACCGTCTCATTCATTTTGTCTGTCTTTTCTGCTTATTTTTGAACATATCAGTCATAATTATTTTAAAGTTCTTGTGTGTTAACACCAATATATTGGACATCCTTTCCTCTGCTTGTGTGTTCTGTTCTTTCCCTTCTCTTGCTTGTCTGGTACACAGACACACATGTACACGCACATATGTGCAAACATGCACCATGTGCACACTCACACAGGATGATTTCCATACATGGGATAGTTTTGTGTTTGGCTTTTTCACCTGACCTTGTATCCTAAGTGCTTATCCATCTTATTGAACTCTTTGCCAACAGTATTTCTAGAGATGGTATGGCATCCCACTATAAAGATGTCATATTCTTTCATTGTTAGGTATTTAGGGCAATTTCATATCTGAGACTCTGTCCTGAAGAATTAATTCAAATTTTCTGTACACAGATGTTTATTATGGTGTTTTTGAGAACTAAACCAAGTAGGGAAGACTTCTGAAGTCTTAGATTGAGAAATTCTTACCCAGCCTCTCAGCTTCTTGAGTTCAGGGACCGTGTCTTATAATTTTGGATCCTTAGTAGTGTTATGGTCATTTATTCCTGACTTCATTCAAAGCATCATCCACCTGCCGTTTGTCAGGGTCTCATGGTTGGGGTGTGTGTCTGACTTTGAACTGGCTGGACAAGCTCCTGACCACATGGAACTTAGACGCTCCATGGGCAGAAGAAGTAACTAATGTGCTCAGGGACCAACCACTTGCTATGTGGCCAGGCTTCTGGTTTATCAGTGACATCAACTCATTACCTCCTGGGTCTCAGTTTCCCTAATGTGTACAGTGACAAGGTTGGTCAGCAATGTCAACAGAATTTTTGGCAATGATAGAAATGTTTCCTATCTGTGCTGTCCAGTATGGTAGCTGCTGGTTGCATGTGGCTGTTGGGCACTTGAAATGTGACAAGTGCAACTTAGAAACTGAATTTTTAATTTTATTACGTTCTAGTTAATTTAAATTTTAAACAAGTAGCCACATGTGGCTAATAGCTACTATATTGGCCAGTGCTGGTTCAGATGACTTAAATGTTTGTTAAATGGTATTTAGTGGTCTTCAGGGTCCATTCTGATTCTGACACTTGGTTTTCTTTGCTGTTTTTGATTTTATTTATTTATTTATTTTTTTAAAGATTTTTTTTTCCCTTTTTCTCCCCAACGCCCCCCGGTTCATAGTTGTATATTTTTAGTTGTGGGTCCTCCTAGTTGTGACATGTGGGATGCCGCCTCAGCATGGCTTGATGAGTGGTGCCATGTCGGCACCCAGGATCCGAACCAGCGAAACCCTGGGCCGCGGAAGCTGAAGACATGAACTTAACCACCCCGCCGCGGGGCCGGCCCCCTATTTTTATTTATTTTATCACTAGTGCTTTTTTGTGTACTAACGGATTGCGTACTTTCCCTCTCTATGAGGTTTTGATAGGGACATCACCTCATAGGGAGAGGACGTTGCCTGAACAGGACACTAAAAATATAAAGTAGGCCGAACTAGAGAAGAAGAAAGGATTTTGTTGGAAATCAGCTTGTGCTGCACAACCGTTTGAGTAAACTACGACGTTGCCGACACCACATGTAGATGCTTCTGTTAGCGCTGCACTTTTCCTTTAACCAGGTTTTGGATTTTTGTCAAAATTAACAATTTAAATTTATGATTCAGTTTTCTGTTATAAGTAATTGCTGTTTGTAAATGAGACTAATTTCTCTTTGAATTTTTGGTACAAATAATGTAATTTAGAGTTAGAGATCTCTTGATCCTCTGGGTCTAGGCAAAATAAATGTAATATCTAATGCTGGAATCGGGCAAGATTTTCCTGTGAATCTTAAAATATCTGCTTTGTAAAACTAGGTTATTTTAGAAACTATAAATAGTCACTTGGTAATTAGGTGTTTGGGTTTATTTGTTATAATGGAGTGCTTATTAAGTTCAGTGCGTTTTTACCCCATGGAGCAGGAGCTTTTATAGGCCAAGTGATAAGCTTCCTCCTCTACGTTTTGCTTGCTGATTATGACTCATTACAGATGATGGATGACCTGCTGAACTTTTAAATTCCTGTTTGCTTGTAGAGATAGAAAACTCTCATTTCTTTTGATCGGGCCTACTTCAAAATTCTGGAACCACTTGATATAATATAACCTTAGACTACAGCACATTGTCAGAGGGGAGAAATGGTGACGGGATGTGCTCTCTCTGTCATGTGGATGGGATGTGCTCTGTCCCGCCTTATCTCTTTCCTCCAGGATTCTTATTCCTTTTTTGCTAGGCAGAGTTTCTTCACATAGTTAAATGACATCAGGACTTCATCGGGATGTGGGTTCCTGCAGAAACAGCCCTGTGTCTGGACCCAGGGAATGTAGTGATGTTCCCGAAGCCTTTGCAGGACAGTTGATGTCTTCCTGTGTCCCGCAGGATGGTGCTAAGAAGATCGCTGCTGCACGGTAACTTCCTGGCGCTCTGACATGTTCGGGGCGGGCACTGCAGCCTGCCCTTGCATAGGGTGGTTTTCTGAGAGCACAGAGGGATGGCGCAGTCTGGTCTTAGTGTTTGCATTTGGGAGTCTCCCTTTTAATTTTATCCTCATCCTTTTGTTTGTTTGCTTGTTGTGAGGAAGATTGGCCCTGAGCTAACATCTGTGGCCAGTCTTCCTCTTTTTGCTGAGGAAGATTGTTGCTGAGCTAACAACTTTGCCAATCTTCCTCTATTCTGTATGTGGGATGCCACCACAGCATGGCTTGATGAGCGGTGTGTAGGTCTGCTCCCAGGATCTGAACCCACAAACCCTGACCTGCTGAAGTGGAGCGTGTGAACTTAGCCGCTTTGTCACCAGCCTGGCCTCTATCCTCACCCTTTTTAAGAAAAGAAAATTGATCATTTTCTTCTCTGGGATCAAACTTTGTTACAAACAGAAAGCAGTGTTTTATAAATATTGAGGCAGCACAAAGGTCTGGACTTTCCATTGTCACCCTCAATCTTCCTCCAGCCCCCCCACCTCCAAAGGCAGCCTTAGGACTGCACGTTTTCTGTTTGCCTTTTTGTTATGATCCACTAACAATAAGAACATTTTAAAATTTATGTAAATTTAATGAATGGCCAGTGAGAAGAGAGACTAGTTTTATAACAAGATTAATACCTTGGCTCAAGGACCAGAGCATTTTAGTAAAATCAAAATTTGTATAGTTATCCTAGCCATGCTTTCAACCTCTGGCTTCCTTATAAAAATATCTAAATAAAATATTGGTAGCTGTCTCTGACCATCATTTGCGTCTTTGTATTGTGGCCTGACCTGGAACCCACTCAGGGTCGTGAAGTCTGGGCCAGGGTCTCCCAGTTTCCATCACGTCAGCTTGTGCAACGGTAGAATCCAGGATGGTGCACCAATGCTGCCTGTTTCCATGGTCTGGATGTTTCTGGAAAAAAATACAGGGAGAAATATCCTCCACAGTCGTGTTTTAAATAAATTCATACATAATCTCTACCTTTTCCCCCTTTTGAGTATAGTAGTCTTGGTGTATTCATTTTTTCTTTTCTTCTTTTGGCAGAGGGGCCTGTTGGAGTTGAAGCTATGGAGCGAATATTCTGAATGGTTCTGATTTTAAACAGGAGGAGCCTCATTTTTTAGTCTGATTTATAATGTGATAGAAAGCTGCTGGCCAGCTGACAATAATCTTAATTTATGATCTATTTAACCTTTTTATCTCCCAGCCACAATTCACATCCCCTTTCCAGACCTGAATCTCTGTGCCCGCGTGTTTCAGAGGCAGACATGCAGCGTCATGGTTCTGAATCTCAGAGGCTGAGGGGAGGCTTTTCACTGAGAATGTGAATGCCCAGCTGCCGGCCTTCCCTGGCCAGCACAGCACGCCGTCAGCAGTGAGGGCACCGTGAAGGCCCTGCAGGTGAGCCTGGTCCTCCCCGGTCTCATCTCCCTATTTCTCGACTGCCAGGTCTGTAGTGTCAGGATAGACCCTCCGTGTACAGACCTGTCAGTGGAATGGGGTTTTCTTGACTTTTTATTTTGAATAATTTTAGACTTGCAGAAAAGTCGCACAAGTAGCATAGAAGGTTTCTGTTCACCATCTGCCTAGTTTCACCTGCTGTACCTGCTTACTGTCTTACGTCACCCATGTCTATAGCCTTGTACAGCTACCACGACCAGGGAGTTAATGCACAAGGCATCAGTATGTTAATTAGTATTAATTAGTATTGTGTAATACTACAGACCTTGTTTGAATTTCAGCAGTTTTCCCACTAAAGTCCTTTTTCTGTCCTGCCATCCAGTCCAAGGCCCCATATGGCATTTAGTCATTGCATCTCCTTTGTCTCTAGTTTGTGATAGGCCCTCTTTCCTGCTTTTTGTGGCCTGGACACTTTCGAAGAGCATTGGTCACTTATTTAGTAGAACGTCTCTCGTTTGGGTTTGTGATGTTGACTCGTGATTAGGTTGAGGGTCGTGGTTCCCTGAGAAGAGCACAGAAGTGACGTTGCCTCTCAAGGCACCACATCATGAGGCGTGTGATGTTCAGATGTCACGTACTGGTGATGCTCACCGTGGTCACTCGGTTAGGGTGGAATCTATCATGTTTCTCCAATTATAAAGTCACTATGTTCTCCTTTATAATTAATACAAATCTTGGGGTAGGTCTTTTGAGACCCTGCAGATATCTTGGTCCTCTGCATGCTTTCACCCACGAATTTCAGCATTTGTTGCTGTATTTTGCCTGCAACAATTATTACTGTGTCGTTTGCCTAATGTTTTATATTTCCTTCCTTCTTTCTTCATTTACTAGATGGAATTCTTCTGTGTGGAAGAGCTGCTCTTTCTCTGTCAGTTATTTGTTTATTCAGTGAATTATTTATATTAGTATGGACTCATGCATATTTATTTTATATTATGGGTTGTAGTCCCATATTGTCATTACTTATGTTGTTACTCAAATAGTTTCAACTTTGGCTCTTAGGAGCTCCTTGAGGTTGGCTCCTGTGTCTTTTTGACATGCCCATCTTTTTTCTAGCACTTTCTTACTTTCTGGCACCACAGTGTAATCCAAGCTTATCTTGTGTTTTCTCTGCCCCAGTCTGGATTCAGTCACTTCTCCAGGGAGCCCGAGTTCCTTTTCCTGGAAAATGATATTTAGAAGCCAAGATCTGGCTACAGGTGTGCTCATTGCTGCTGAGGTGCTGTGCTTGTGGCCCCTCCCAGTGGACAGAGCTAGGAGATCCATGTAGGTACACTGACCCATGCATGCACATCATGATGCATCTTGTATTTATTTCTGTATCTGTCATTTGCATGCATATTAAAAACTATGAGTTTGTCCTGATACCTCCTGTCCGACTCTAACACAACAGGTTTCATTCTCGCCTTCCCCTTTCCTTATCTGTACCTCCCTTCTCCGGCAGTGAGAAACCTGGCTCTTGTGATCTGCAGTACACTTGCTTAAGTAATGGGGTCTTGTGAACAAACAGACCCTGGTAAACCTGCGTCATTGTGTTGCGGTCACTAGCGTGGATGGGCCTCATACTCGAAATCCTGTTTGTGAAGGAGAGTATTTCATATGCTTGCTTGGCATAAAGGTAGTCTTCAGAATTCTTTTAACTGCTCATGTAAACATGGTTAGGAACCATGAGTTGACATTTCTACTGGAATAGACAGAAAATGAAATAATTTTGTTTTAAAATATGATGGCATGTTTCCAAATAGGTGAAGCAGCTAATTAGCTTATTTCTCAAATATCCACATGTTGCATGTTGAGAAGAAATAAAAGAAACAGTGAGGGTTCTCTAATATTATTTATTTATTTATTTATTTGGTGAGGAAGATTGGTCCCGAGTTAACATCCATTACCAGTCTTCCTCTTTTTGCTTGAGGAAGACTGTCCCTGAGCTAACATCTGTGCCAGTCTTCGTCTGTTTTGTATGTGGGATGCCGTCACACCATGGCTTGATGAGTGGTGTGTAGGTCTGTGCCCAGGATCCGAACCCTCAAACCCTGGGCTGCTTAAGCTGAGTGTGTGAACTTAACCATAGGCCACTGGGCCGGCCCACCTCTAATGTTATTTTATGTGAAGGATAATAATTTCCTTTCATAGCATTCTCTACTAATTTAGGGTTTTTTTTTGTTGTTAACCCATTTTATTTTAATTCCCATTTTTTGTTGAGTTGGTACTTTTTTTACTACATGTGATTCATTGTGATTCTTTTTCCTCTTTCTTGTAAACAGAGATATTGAAAATTCATTAGATGAACATGAAAACCTTTAAAAGGTCTAATTGTACTTTAATATATCAGGGGCCATACAGAATTCATGCTTAGAGGTGTGACAGAAGTTTTCAAGTATTATGTGTCTTTGTGGATACTGTGTTATGTAGGACCTTATACCTGACACATATTTCATGAAGTTTTTTTTTTACTGGAATTGGGTTTGTTGGTGGCAAAGGACTATAAAACTTAGCTGACAGAAATACAAACTTATTGTTGTCAGTTTTCATCAGATGAAGATTGAAAATTGTTGGACATCCTTTTGAAATGTCTAGCTCTTATTCCAGGGAGAGTGGAAGCATTTAAACCCCTGTGCGTGATGCCCCGTGCTCCCTCCTGCTGTGGCAGTCAGGCTAGCGTGTCATGTCCTGGAGAGGCCACCAGATTGAAGCGGCCTATTTGGTTATAAGTCCCACATGGTGGCTCCTATCTGGAGATTAACCCAGATCCACAGTGGAATTTGGTGGCATTTGTCACCGCAGGATAACTGAGCTGTTCTGACCGATGCAGTGTGGAATGCGTGTGTCTGGGAGAGAGTTGTGGGTCTGGTTTTGAAGTATGTGAGATTTGACCTTGAGTACCCACCTGGCACTATGCGCTGTGCCGTTGGGCAAGTTACTTAACCCCTCGATCTGTTTTCTTATCTATAAGTAATTTGCTCTACCTTAGGGTTGCTGGGAGGAGTAAATGAGATAACGTATGTGAAGCACCTGGCCCAGTGTCAGACGTATGCAGCTAATAAATTTCATTCCTACCCAGCTATACCTTTTGATAGTCTGTTGACATGAGGTTGCCTACAAAGGTGCAGAAGGCTGCTTTTTCTGGGGTATTTGCTTTTTGACGTAAAAGGTAATAACTGATCACATGGTTATTTTATTTTGCTTTATAAAAATGAGTTAAAATAGGGTATGATAGTATATGCCAGAGATGCATGGTGTGATGTGGTAGTTGTCTTTCCCTAAAGAAGGCTGCAGCTGAGGTCCAAGGCGATTTTCCCCCGTGTAAAGATGTGTGACTGGGGACCGGGCCAGATGCCTTCCTAATGGCCTGTGTAACTTCAGTGCGCCCTGTCACTTGTAATTAACTTAGGGAAAACCAATGTGTGAACTTAAAGATGTCTCCCTTTATTCTTGTCTTTAAAATCAAGTTACATTCTTTTTTTCTTAAGCAATAAACTTTTGGAGGAAATGAGGAGCAGAGAACGGCTGTAGAGACTCAGTAATACGCTGACTGTGGGTATCCAGTATTACCCACGCAGACCTTACAGAGACAGTGATTTTAAAAGCAGCCGTACCCAAACAGAACATAAAAATGCATGTAGGCTAGAAATGCACTTTTTCTTTTTATGACTCTACTCCATATTTCATTTATATTTAAAACTGAGTTGACGAATATGAATACAGATATTTAGAGTTATTGTAAAGTCATATTTGTTTATGTGCATAGGCCATATCTTACAGTTTAACGGGAGCACAGTTAATGGTTTTGCCCACACTGCTTGGAATCTTTTTTTTTATTATCCTCTAGCTTCTATTCTTCAGGTGTGTAGCTATTTTAGTATTATGAAGGATGATGGATGATGCTGGAAAGTTTCTTTGGAAGCACTTCTGATATTGTGCAATGCACTTGGGGGTCAGCTACACTTGACTGATGCATGATTTATCCCGTGTCCCTGCCACTTCCCGAGATGAAGCTGCTGTTTTATCAAAAATGCCAGCAACTGTGATTTAGAATTTATAAACCTCCATTTTCAAATAATTGTTCTGATTACTTTCTGCCGTGGCAATAAAATGATAAAGGTAATTGCACACAAATGTGAGATAGCACCAAAATACAATAAAATTAACCTGAATTAGCTTGACTTGTCGATGAGAAGTATTTATGAAATGTAGTGTTGCAATAAGGGAGGGTGATATTATAGCTGGAAGGTGAGTTATTGCCTTAATGTAATACTCCCTGAAATTTAAAAAAGAGACTGTTTCTGTTGAGGGTGATTGTGCTTTTGAAATTAAGTTGAAGTGATTCTTATAATTGGCAACAATAATGCGTTTGGAAGGTAATATCTTTTATTGTGTTATGCCTACTTGCATTACCTTTTATTTAGCGATTCTGGCTTCAACTCTTCTAATACTCAGATGGAAGCTGACTTGGAATTCTGTCGGATCCAGGGGGCTTGAATGTTTTACTCTCTTTTCAGCATTGCCCCTTGTCTGAATGTTACAGGCTTTAAAAAAATATTTGTTTAAATCATTTAGATATCAAAAGTTGAATGTTAGTTAATTGTTTTAAAAAAGTGTAAGGAAGATTCTCATCAATGTGTTTTGTTTCCCTGTCTTTGCCTATGTACTGGGAATTTCTCATTGGACCTAATAGTTTTCAGCAGTATCATAGCCAGTGCCCCCTTGTAAATAAATCGTTTATAACCTTCCTTTCACAATCCTGAAAATGAAATTCATGGATAATATCTAGCTACATATACTATTTAAAAAAACTTTAAGATATAAACAAAAGGGCGGTCATTTATCGTAAAATTGTGTATTCAGACAGAAATGCTTGGGCAGGGCTGTGCTAGAACGCATGATGAAGTAAGTGGGTGTGTGCCCCTGGAGCGCAACAGCTGCCCAGACTCAGTTTTGTC